CATCAAGCATTTCTCAAGAACACAATAGTGGTTATCCTGCAACATCTGTTGAGAATGATCATCTGTTGAGATTGGTTGACCTGGGGGTGTTGGCACAAGTCACACATGCCCATGAGGCACACATGAGGCATCATCAAAGCAAAACATCTCTCAGAGCCTCTGGATCCTACTGAATAAATCCAGCAGCAGAACTAAAAAAAAGGTGTGAAATTACTGGTGAAAAGAGTCACAAGTAACTACAGCTCAAATAATATGCAACCATTTCTACAGGCTCTTGGGTGGCTTAACTCTACATACAGAGCTAGCACTCAACATACAGAAGGTCTTTCATAACTGCCTATTTTTGTTATAATTGATATAAATATCACGCACAAAGTAAGCACAAATTCACAAAACAGCAGGATCGTCATCTGCAGGCATCTAATTTTAGCCCCCCATATCTTCTACTTTACTGGAGTCTTCCTACCATCTTTGTTCTATCTTACAAGCTGTTGATCAATATTACATAGCTCTGAATCACTAATTTTTCCTAATCATGCACAGCGGCAAATAATTATCACAGCTCCTGCAGTGAATGATAGCACGTCTTCTATTTGTTGACATCCCTCATCCGCTAATTGTTAGTTACAAACTTAAATTATGGTATAAAGATCAATAAATCCGATGTTCCAACACTGAGCAATGTACAAATTAGACAAAATAAGGCTGGTAAATAACAGATCAACAGCTGCACACCAGCAAAACCTATTTTAGATTTGGATTACAGCATTCAGTTCTGGCTACCTTTATAAACTTTTCTTTATGTCAACAGCTTTCTGAATCCTTGTCAATCAAATACTTGACACTTATTGAGAGGAGTTTACTTTAAAATTGTCTGTAAAGGCAATCACATATAGAGCCAGGTTTTTTAATGAATCAATCTAACATGTTATAACCAAAAACAGATCTTCTGCATGCCTGGTAGCCTGTATGCATATTGTATCACAATGCTATTTGATGCTTTTATTTGTAAAATTGAGCTTTTGTTAAGCAAGCTTTCAAACCAAGATATAATTGTTAATATAATACCATGTATTTAATCATGACAAAATGATTTCAGCTGGTCCAAACAATAGCACAAAAGACTGGAAAATTCATGGACCTTATTTGAGAGCTTTTATTTTATTTTTAGACCCTATTTGTTAGGCATGTTTTATGAATTCATGAAATAAAATGTATGGTTATTAGTTTCTGTCTTGGTTGCATATAAATTAAACAGCTGGAGCTACCTACTGTGCTGTCTATTAGACTGGAAAAAGTATTTATTATACTAAAATTACAAAGCCATAAGCAAACCGTAATACTGCCGTATTACAGCATTTTTATTTGAAGATTTTGTTTAGCAATTCTTAATTTATAAGATTTTTTTGTCTAGAAGTTTTTGTCACAAATGGTTGCATATTAATAAAAACATTGCAAAAATATGGTTGTGATAAATATTGGTTTACAAGAAAAGATGTTTATTACGCAGCAGTAGCTGACTATGGTCACAATTGAAGGGACAGGCCAGGAGCCAAAAAAATTACTCTACTCAATAAGACGGGAACATGGAGGTAACTAAATTTTAAACATCATTAATGTTTCTTTTATTACTTAGAGTGTTACTAAACCCAGGACCCTGCATTCACTATATCTGATCTCCCACAGTACACATTTTATTTTAGTAAATATAAACTGCTAAATACCTTTTCTCATCATCAGTTAAAGCAGTCTTGTGACTTCTATCAGTGTCCAGCAGAGCACTGGTTAAAGCTTGTAGGAGGAGTTTTCATTCTCCTTTGATTGTCCTATGAGGCTGCATAACCCCTGACCCTTTGTCTGGACAGTGCTGATTGGCCCTGGGCAGATCACATGCATCCTCCCAAAGAGAAAAAAAACTCTCTAGCCATACACTCTAAAGTGAGCATGTGTAGAGTGACTCCTACAGACAGTAGAAGAAGGGGAGAATCAGAGAAGACCGAATCAAATAGCCTTTTTAAACAATGCAGAGGATTAACCCCTTAGGTTCCACAGTGAGTATAAAAAGCATGGTTTACTGCACATACAGACTGTTTTTGCTGTTGCAGGTTTAGTAACACTTTAAATCAGGGGTGTCCAATCTTTTGACTTTCCTGGATGACATTGGAAAAATTTTCTTGAGTAACACATAAAATACACTAACAATAAGGATAGCTGATGAGCCGAAGAAGTCTGGCAGATCACAAGTTACCGATCACTGATATTAATAATATACCTATCTGAGTAATAAAAGTTAATTTTTTGGTAATTTTTTTTATTACAAAAGTAAAAGGGGATCATAATGCTAGGGCGATATTTGACACTGTTTTGAATTCTCAAGGTGCTCATAAGATAATTTGGTTCTAATGTTGCACTTCAAGTACGTCAACCTTGAAAATAGTTGCTTACAAATATGGGTACTGCCAAAAACTGATGACATGAATAAGGCATGATTGTGAAGAGTGGGATATTTTTCTTTGGGAATGTAGCAAGTAAATGAATATACCTCCCAGTATTGCTATTACTTGGTTGTCTCTAGAGGGAGCTCTAATGATTTGTAGTGTGACTTCAGGAGACTAACAACTAACAAGCTCACATTAAACTCTGAATGAGCAAGTGAGCACATGTGTTTTCTGCTCTTCTTTTGATACAATTTAGTCACATTTTGTTTATGCCAACCTTGTTCAGTTTTGTTTTTTTTCTGACATTCACTTTATCTGTGTAGTATCCTATATGTTAGTAATGGTACAAATTGATGTGCTTCTCCATGTGTCCTGCACTGTCTCCATAAAGAAAGTAATTTTCTGTATAGTGTGATTCATTTCTGTTTGACAAACGATACTCAGAATTAACAAGTGAGCCGCATGTGTTTTCTATTCTCCTCTTGATACAGATACTGTAGGCTTCATCTTTGTCATACCTTACACTCAGATCACTCATAATCCTCATCGACATTATGATGAGTGATGCTTGACCACTAACGCACTGCTCTCCAAACATGTCTGGTCTAGTCATTTCTGCATTCATCAATGACATCACCTGGAGATTTTGTTCCTTTCACCTGTAACCTTAGCAGTGGGGACCATATCATCTGGTGTGAGTGAAGCAACAGGATTAGACTTGTCCATCATTGGCAGGTGGGTTTTTTTATTTCAGTGGATCATTAGACCTCGTTCATAATGGTTGTCACACTGTATATCTTTATGCTTTCAAGCAATTATTTTTTGAATGATACAGTGGACATTATTTGTATTTTCTTGTGTTGCCCATTTAAAGACATTTTTTTTTAAGTTTTTGCATTTTCACATGTGGCAAATTGTTAGGTAATTTTGGTTCACATTTTTGGCAGCGCAATCTCTGTACACATTCATAAGGTTCACTAATATGGAAATTAGACACATTTTGAAGACTGCAGCAGCCATATTTACATTCGTCTGTGTTTTCTTATTTTTGGTTTCTTTTGGTTTTGTCTGTGGTGCAGAGTTTTCATTGTTATTTATTTGTTTGACATGACCTTGCTAATTAGCCTAGAAAATGGCCATTACTGTTTTTTAATATTACTCTCACATTGAAATCAATGGGGTTCAGATTTAGTACTTTAGCCGTGTTTAGTCATGCGAACCTGCATCACTTCGTTCAACTCATCCTTACTACCTACCATGTTGGATTCCACTAGGGAAAGCTTTTTTTTTTTGCTATATTATATCAATCCAGTAAAAACATACAATATCTATTGCTGATCAGAGCTTATCTGTGATAGTCTCCAATTACATTACACAGATTGTCAGTGAGATTGCAAGAGATTAGAAAGAAATTGAGATGATAAAGCTACAGATTGGAAGGGGAACAAGATGGGACAGCAGGTCAGTCTGAGATATTGACTTAAATTCAAGAAGCTTCATATTGAACTAGTCCAGTCCACAATGCATGCCTTTCTGGAGTCAGTAAGAGTTTTTTTAAGGGCACTGTAATACTCCTTGTTCAAATGAAATTTGTTAGTTGTCCATAGCCTGGCCACATGTTCAGTTTAAATTAATCCTTCCACTGCCAAATAATCAGAGAAGTTCAATGTTCTTTGTTGTTGATCCCCTTTTACTAGGTGCCCTCTTTGAAAGTAAACTTCCAATTGACCAGAGAGCACCTTGTACCCTGTCATTTTGTGATAGACTTAGTCACAGAAAAAAAAACCTTTAGTCTATTAAAGGACACAAGTATTCTTAGATTTTCAGGTTATATTGAAGCCTACAGACACTGGCAACAATAATTCATTGAGCAATACAAAATAACTCCACCCACAGCCATCATACCTCAGTTGTTTGCACATTTCCTCAGCAGTGTGAACTTGTTTTTTCAGCTCTGCTGTCCTCTGTTTATTTGGAAGACATTTCTACTATCAAATGCTGCATGTAGATTTATGCTGAATATGTCAAATTCTGTAAGTCTCTTCAGACAGCCAACGGGCACTGGTATCTTCATGATGGATATGTTTAATTTTGGATGCCTCATCTGGTAGCCAAATGGTTCAGGTTTTCTTGGTTTGTACTGGTGTTCTCTCTGTGACATCCCTGAATTTCTGGATGTTTCTACAGTAGTCTACAGATTCTAGTAGTTTTAGGACAGATATGGAAATCTTGTTCATTATCTATACTGGCATTTTCTCTGCAGCTATTGCAAGTTAGGCCATTATGTTTGTCAGACAACGTGGTTCTGGTGGTTCAGATGTTAAAGCGGTTTGAATAGATCCTGCTGCTTCAGACGTGATTGCCAAAATCAACTCATCAGTTGGAGTATTTGGGTCTAATCTTGGAAACAGTTTAGACCATAATTCCAAATCTGGGAAACATCAGGCTTTTTTATCTTAGATTTGGACCAGGGGCAGACTGACAACACATGGGGCCCCCGGGCAATAGTGGATCATGGGGCCCTTGTGTCCTTGCCCAAACTCAAAAAAGCCTATGAAAAAGGTACCAGGGGCATCTCATGGGGCCCCCTACTGACCCCGGCCCTCGGGCAGTGCCCGAGTTTCCAAATGGTCAGTCCGCCCCTGATTTGGACTCTTCTTCCAGAAGTCATCTGACTCTCTGCTTTTGCATTGGAGTCGTGGAGATGATGGCAGTCTCCTTCATAGCTGTTCTATTGCCCATTGTCAATTCCAGACCACTATAACTTAAAGTGTTACTAAACCCACAACAGTAAAATCAGTCTGTATATGCAGTAAAGCATGCTTGTTATACACACTGTGGAACCTAAGGGGTTTATCCTTTGCATTGTATAAAAATGCTGTTTTATCCTGACTTCTCTGATCCTCCTCTTCTTCCGGTGTCTCCCCCTTATCTCCTGATAAGACCTATCATGTGGAGTCACTCTGCACATGCTCAGTTTGGTGTGTATTGCTAGATAATTTTTTCTTCTCTTGGGAGAGTGCATGTGATCAGCACAGGGCCAATCAGCACTGTCCAGACAGAGGTCAGGGGCTCTGCATCCTCCTAGAGCAAAAACATCTCCTACAAGCTTTAACCAGTGCTCGGCTGTACATTGAGAGAAGCCACAAGACTGCTCTAACTGCTGATGAGAAAATACATTTAGCAGTTTATATTTACTACAGTATTTGCACTTCCATGTTCTGTGTACTGTAGGAGACCAGATATAGTGAATGCAGGGTCCTGGATTTAGTAACACTTTAACATGCTGTCATCGTGGGATGTGTCATCCAATTCCCTAAGCAAAATGATTGTTTGAAACCAAGGATCAGGCTATCCCTGATCTGGAGGCTTTGAATCAAGCTTTAGGATTAGGTAAATTATTCATTTTAATCTTTTGGAACATGCTCATGATAAATACCAGCCTGTTTGGCTGGGTGTCTTGGGCATCCCTATTATACAGGGGATTTGGATGTAGGTGAAATTTTACCTCCTAATCAATATACTAGTATTTTAGGTGATCTTATTCTCTCTGCAATGTTGAACCATCCTACTGGAAGATCATCTGGTCTGGATTCAGTAGGACAGTGGCACAACAGATGTGTACATCAACCATCAAGGAGGAACCAGACGTCTACCGGGGTAAGACAGGTGGATCAGATCCTGTCCAATCAGAACAAGATTGTCTCCATATACAGGGAATCTCTAGTGAAAGTAGTGAATGCTCTTGTGGTTCTGTGGGATCTCTACATAATGATCAATGATTTTTCTCCCTCTTAACTACTTCCTCATCTGCTTCACAAAATTGACATGGAGGGTATTCCGATGATCCTCGTAGTCCTAGACTGGCCAAAATGAATGTGGTATGCTGACCTTGTAGGATTCCTGGTGGGTGCTCTGTGAGTTTTTCCAGATCATCATTTTCCCTCAATGACCCATTTACCATCCTTTTTCACTGTCACTGGCCTTAACAATATGGCTGTGGAAGCTCAGGTTTTGAGAGACCAAATGCTGATCCAGGCCCAACTGCATAAAGGAGAGGATTCATCCTACGGATAACATCATATGACAAACATAGTGGTAAGTTTGCAAAAAAAAACAATTGCATCTTGTTTAGCAGCTGGTTGGCAAAGTTTGAGTTGGAAATGGTGGGAGAATTAGATGAGGGTTTAGAAGCACCTATTTTCCTCTGCTACCCATAGACACCAGCCTGCTGTGCCTAATACTATATCCAACTCTGATTGTTATCTAGGATTTGTGTGAAAGTCAGGAAGGTTATCCTTTTTACTTTGAATCTTTTTTTTACAACCAACTGTAGCTAGACTTTGCTTCTTGTCACATGAATCTAGGCTCTGCAATCTCCTTCAATGGGAACTGCAGATGCTGTTTCTTTGACACTGTAAACTTTTAGTTATCAATTACCACAGTAAAAAAAAGTCTATTCAATTTACCTTTTATTTAAACCATTTTTTATCATCCATATCAGTGGTCTCCAAACTGTGGCCTGGGGGCCAAATGTGACCCTTTGCTTGATATTGTTCAGCCCTTGGGGCCCTATTCCTTCCACTGACACCAACGATGGGGCACTATTCTTTCCATTGACACCAACAATGGGGCACTATTCCTTCCACTGACACCAATGATGGGGCAGTATTCCTCCCACTGATACCAATGATGAGGCACTATTCCTCCCACTGACACCAATGATGAGCCACTATTCCTCTCACTGACACAAATGATAAGGTACTATTCCTCCCTCTGACACCAACAATGGGGCACTATTACTCCTAATGACAACAACAATAGGGCACTAATAATTTACCTAATACCAAAGATGGGACATTGTATACTCCCACTGATGCCTGGACATTTCTTACTCCCAATGGCCCCCATGGAGTCTGAAGCACAATAAACTGGCTCTTTGTTTAGAAAGTTTGGAGACCCCTGATCCAGATTCAAGAGGTTTTTTTTTTTTCCTACGGGTATGTTTGTTGCCTCTTATCATATGATTATGTGTTGTTGATCATCTCTGCCATGCTGCAGTCTGGGCAAAGATGATGATGTACTCACTGCTAATACACTATAGGCTCCCTTTATTCCCTTTAAATTCTCTGTCCAATGATTTACAAAACCTAGATAGGTGCATAGTTTCAAAAACAAAAAATGCAAATGAATTGACTATACGTAATTAAAAATACACCCTATTGTTTTAAGCACACTAATTATTAACCTGTGCTAGTGCAACATTAGGACACATTTATGGCACTTTAGAATATTTTAAGTTGTACGTACAGAATGCAGTAATTATAAGAGGATAATTATTCAATCAAAATAATTATAATGTGGAAAGAGCATCTTTACCTCCAGGCATTTATTCACCTTGCAAGTAATCCCTTTGCAAATGAAAAACGTTTGCTACATAGTGGTTAATCATCACTCCTTATGTCAATTAACCTTTATCTGATTTGTGTTCAACTAAATTAACGCAATACCCCGGTCATGCAAGTTCCTACCACATTGCTCATTTGGCTACCTGCATCGAGAGGCATTACCAAGTTCATAATCTTCTATTAGATTGACCTTATTAAGACTGAATTTATATTCATATGCTTAGAATTTGATGTCTTTGGCACCTTGCTTTTGCAGATGGGAAGACGGAAGATTTGAAAAACAAAACTATAAATACAAAGGCAATACAAGCTGATTGCTGACCTAAAAGAGCTTAATGTTTCATGGTTCTTGAAAACAAAGTCATCCCACAGGCACATAGCAGGCACCTTCCTGTACATTTAACCTAAAGCATTTCTGTCCACCATCACAATTACCCATGGTAGCCCCTTAAAAAAACAACTTCTGGATATGGAGTGAATATGCATTCTCTCTCGCCCATACCAAAGCGTATTGCTGGGTGCTCAACTGACCAACCATAATTATAATCAACAATCTAAGGTCTATTTAAGCAATTAATTTTTGGGGATGCTAAAGAATAAAACACAAGCGGATCCAATAAAATGGTGCTCAGACCTGTCAACATGCCACATCTGTTTTTGACTTTGCCAGAGATTACAAGAAAAGATAGCCAGTTATTTCTAAAACTCATAGACAAGGAAACTATTAGATTGCTAAGAGACATCACTTGAAAAAATGCTTGAAGGTTTCTAAAGGTTTCTTGAGAATTGTGCAATAGTAGATTGCAGTCAGCAGGTGCTACTACACTGAGATCTGCACCTATGCTTCTTTCATTTGAAAGAACTCCCATTGTGACACTGTATAAGATGTGAGACTCAAGAGTGCAACATAAGTAAAAGGATCAAAAATATCAGCTAATTACATACTGTGTGCAAGAAAATGATCTTTATTTATATAATATACAAGCTTTTACTACATTTTCTTCTCTTAAGTGAGAACCAAGAGTGAAAAATACATGGTAAGAGCTACAGCATCATCCCATGACATATATTGAATTTGTTATATAACAGTATAAAAAAATCTCTATATATAAAATATTTTCATACTTTTTCTCTTTGCACAGTTGGCAGATTTCCTAGATGTAGATCTAAACTCTCATATAAGAATTAACAAGTTGATGTAATTTCAGAAGTAATTTTCAACCATTTTAAATCTTCAGCTTTCAATAAAATAACATCTGCTAATCCTGCCATGAGGGTCCACGATTGGGCCCTTCCTTTTATAGTGTGGCACCCTCTTAGTTAGGTTGATAAGTAATAGGAACAGTTTGATTTTGGCTAGGTAGTAATCAACCCAGTTTGATTTGTGTAGGTTGGCATTTGGTTTCTCCATAAGCTCAGTTGGTTTTTGGTTTCTTACTGTTACAAGTAAGGGTCATTACTCCATTGGTCATTGTATGAGGGTTTCTGCTTGGCTGAAATAATGAATATTCATATTTCTTTTGATCATCCCAGTAGGAGATTCAAGCCACTGGGGCATGATCGGGAAGAGCATAAATAGTTGGGAAAACAATATGCTAGTTCTCTTGCCTCAGGCTGAGGCCTGATATGTTGCGATTGGACTGTTATGCTGCTAAGCCCAGGAGCCTCAATGAGGTCTAGTATATCTATTGCAGCACAATCCTACATGCCTAGCCTAGGAGATTCACCAGCTGGATAAGGCATCTCTGAAGAACTTGCTGCTGGTTCAATTGTTGTTCACCAGGGTCCTGACTGTGGCCCTACCTGCAACTACAGAATCACCTCTGAGACTCCACTTTTGAGGATTCAGTCTACTAGCACTTCACTAGAAGGCAACGGGAAGCTAAGCCTGGGCAGTTATCTCTTGGCCTTGTGCATAAAACATTGTTTTCTGACCTAGGTGATGTTTGGTGCTGCAAAGAGACAAGAGCCACTGTAGCTTGATTTACTGCAGACTGAGTAACAACATGTAATCTGGCATTTCCCTTCCAGTCCAAGTGGTCAAGGAGTGTTCCTTTCAGGACAGTGAAGTTACTGTTTTCATTGTTATGTAGCACCACTCCCGCAGGGACCACTGGAAGATAATGGTCCCCCAAGGTTGCCCTAACCTTGCAAGCTGACACTTCTGACACTCTGGGTTCAGACATAGTTCACAAAAGATCACAATTGCAAAGACACCAGACTATAGTAAAGCAACTGAGTATTTACTGAGGGTTCTTAAGTCAACAGTCAGAAATGTCTGTTAATGCAGATATCTTTCAACATGAATATGTAGTCACTGCGAGCATAAACCTCAGATATGCAATGTAAAGGGCATGGCAGTGAACCAAACAATGATTACCAATAGCTAAAAGAATCTATGACCTCAGGTATAAAAGGGAAAAGGAATACCTTTCTGGGTCAAGCTGCTCCCTTAAAGTCTTGATGCCACAGGCCCAGAAGGTATCAGCACAATTTATAGGAAATCAATATATTAACAGTACAACAAGCAAATTATGGGTAAGAGTTCCCCTCCATACACACAGATGTAATACACTTCCTTTATGTGGGGGGAGTGAGCAATCCTTTATAACCCTAGTCACATGAAAACTTATTTTCAGAAAAGGTGAGACTCCTAGTATCTGCTACACACTATTTGAATGGATTTAGTCAGCCACATAAACTTCTTTTGTGGCCACTAGTTTCATTGAAATAATGTTTAGAAACTGGAAGAAGTCTACAAACAGCACCACTGCACTCACATCAGGGTTTCAGAAATCCATGTCTCAGAAAGGATGGCAAGGAGGTAGTTGTAATTAACACATTA